AAAGGGAGAGAGAGAGAGAAAGAGAGAGGGAGAGAAAGAGGGAGAAAGAGGGAGAGAAAGGGAGAGGGAGAGAGAGAGAGAGAAAGAGAGAGGGAGAGAGAGAAAGGGAGCGAGAAAGAGGGAGAAAGGGAGAGAGAAAGAGGGAGAGAGAGGGAGAGAGAGTCAGTCCCCTCCCTTCTAGCACTGATGAGGTACCCTAGTTGGGTCACAAAATGTCTGCAAGAAAACCACCCAGCTCAGAGAGCACCAAGGACCCCATATCCTCTTCCTCCTCTCTGTAACCCCCTCCTTCTTCCACTGATGACGTTCCCTAGTTGGGTCATGAAACGTCTGCAAGAAAACCACCCAGCGCAGGGAACACCCTGCGTAGGAATACTTGACTTTTGAAGAGATCCACGTCCTTTTAGAGCAGTGTTTCTCAACCTTGGGAACTATAAGATGCAGGGACTTCAACTCCCAGAATTCCCCAGCCAGAATGGGTGACTAGGGGATTCTGGGAGTTGAAGTCCATGCATCTTAAAATTGCCAAGGTTGAGGAACACTGTTTTAGAGGGATGAGGGCGCAGTTGTGAGAGACCAGGCCGGGGTGCAGTGGGGACTCACCTGTGGGCTTCAGGTATTCTTGGGCAGAACCCAGGATGACATTGCAGTCCCGGTCAGTGCACAAGAAACAGCCCACGAGGGTCCGTCCGTCGGTCATACGTATCCGCAAACTCTTATTCAGGAGGTTCTCCAGCTTGCGTCGCGCGCGCAGGTAGGGCGAGTCAGCTGTTTCTTCCACCGGGTCCTGACAGAAACAGCCAGAAAATAGGTCCTCCACCCAGGAGAGCTGCTTTATTCCCTCCCAATTTTTTCAAAAGGAGATCAAGCCACTAGTCCTTATAGAGTTTGGGTGAGATTAATATGCACCCACGGCAGCATCCTTGGTGTTTTAGAGCTGTAGCCTGGATTGCTTTCAACACAAGTATATTGCGTTGATCTATTCTATAATAACTGTCTTAACGACTGTCTCACTTAGCAACAGAAACTTTGGGCTCAATTGTGGTCATAAGTCAAGTATAGTATAATAATGTATACATAATAGTGTGTGTATGTGTGTGTGTGTGTGTGTGTATATATATATGTATATACACACACACATACATACAAACACACACACACATATATATACATGTGTGTGTATGTGTATATGTATGTATATATGTATATATGTGTATATATATATATACACTCACATACATATATACATACATACACACTATTATGTATACATTATTTTATTACACTATAGTACAGATGTGTATATATATATATATATATATACACATACATATACATACACGTGTGTATTATATATATACACCTGTACTATAGTATATAATAATGTATACATAATAGTGTATATGTGTGTGTGTGAACATAAACGCACACACAGGTATATTTATACACATACATATACATATACCTACACACATGTGTGTATTATATGTATGTGTATATGCACACACACACTGTAAAAAGTATTTAAAACAATAATATATAATATCATAATAGACATTTATCTATATTAACTATAATACAATTGTTAATTGTATTAAGCTATTTTGCGCACAGATATAATATTAACAATATTATTCAGAGGCCAGCCCCCTTCCCAACTTAGCAGATGGGCTTTGTAGTCCCACATCGATGGGAGGGAGCTTTAACCCCCCCCTTCCCATTTCCAACCGTGAGGGGAAGGGCCCTGCGTCCCCGTCCGAGCCCCGGCCCTTCCCTCACCTCGGGGGCGCTGTTTCCGCAGCCGTTTTCGTCCGACTCCCGAGGAAGCAGCGGCGGCGGCGGCGGCTGCCTCAGCATCGGCTCCTGGGCCGGCGGGGCCGCCATCTTGCCGATGGAACTACCCTTCCCACAAAGCCCCGCGGGCCCTCCGGCGGCGTTACGCACGCACGCACGCACGACGCCACAGCCGCGTCCGGCTTTCTCCTTCGGCCCCGCCCCCTGCGAGCTAAGCCTGCGTTTCCCGTGGGGCCCTGCGGCGGCGCGTTGCCAAGGGAGCGAGGGACGCGGCGCATGCGCCAAGGGGGGGCGATGCGATGGACGGCTCCTTCCGGCCGCGTTTCTTCACGCCGCGGGAGGTGGCGGTGCACAACCGGCCGTGTGATCTCTGGGTCTCCTACCTGGGGCGGGTGTACGACCTCAGCCCCCTGGCCGAGGAGTACAGGGGTAAGGCGGGCGGGGGAGGGGTGAGCTTCCGGGGCCGGGGCTTCCCAAGGGGAGCCTCCAGGTGGAGAAGCAGTCTACCTGAAGGGAGGAGGAGGAGGAGGAAGGGTGGTTATCCGAGACGGGGGTAGAAAGAAGGGCAGTCAGGGAAGAAAGCTGCCTGAGCAGGGGTTGGACTAGATGACCTCCAAGGTCCCTTCCAATTCTTCTTCTTCTTCTTCTTCTTCTCCTTCTCCTCTCCTCCTCCTCTTCTAATGGCCAGTCAAATGAATCCGTTCTTCTGAACGATTCTTTCTCTTTCTTTCTTTCTTTCTTTTTCTTTCTTTCTCTCTCTCTCTCTCTTTCTTCCTTCCTTCTCCTCCTCCTCTTATGGCCAGTAAAATTTATTCGTTCTTCTGAACGATCCTTCCTTAAAAGGAACGTTCTAGAGATGTTCTACAGATGCGATACAATGTGTGTGTTGTTGTTTTTGTTATTATTATTATTGCA